TCAAATATATCTTTCACCTCAAATGTATCAAGAACAAAGGCCTCAGGGATGAAGATGGAGTCAACTTGGCTCTCAAAGTGAAGATAAAGAATCTGATCCTCCTCGTCATTCTACCATGTAAATTTTGAAATATATATCAATAATTGTAGTTGATGGAATTTGAAATTATTATATTTTTAAGTTTGTAATTTTATTAAATTAAATAATTGATATTTAACATATTATGTTTTGTTAATATTTGATTTGTCTAGAATTAATATTGAATATGAACTTGGTCAAGAAAAAATTTTATGGATAAACCAAATATGAATGCTTTTTATAATCTAAATAACATTGTGAATAATTTGTTTAGAAAATAAAAAATATAGAGTGTTATAAACCATTTTTAAAATTATTGAATAAGAGTTTTTATAATTATAATTATAATTATAATTATAATTATAATTATTACATTTTATAATAAATTGTGCAAAAAAAAAATTTTACGATCGTTATGATTGCAATGACCGTAATTATCTCCGTTATATGTAAAAATATGATAAATATTATGCGACCAAAAATGTAATCGCTACCGTTATTTAAATCTCTGCCGATAGGTGTCGAGGCTGGTATTAATGAAAACAGTATTTAAGACAGAGGAACTACCAGAACCGACAGCAGAATCCGGCTTTTTCATTTTCGTTTGAAATTGGCAGCGACCCGGAACTTAAAAAGGGTTTCAAAGCTCCCAAGAATGATGTCAGCAAACTAACTGGTTAATAATCCCATTGTATTACATTTCCTGCAAAAGAACATTTTAAGTTCTATCAGGAATTGCTTACAATTTTGACTGGATATTTCACAAAAAATGGAATTTACCTGGTTCAAAGCGATTGGATGGTGGATCAGATTCATGCATGAACGACTCTCACATTTCCATAAAGGCATAGATCTTTCACACTTACCTTTTCAGTTTTGTATGGCTTCCATGAGGACAGTCTGTTGATCATCAAGATCATCACTCTCAAACCACAGTTTCTCCCTTGGTTTCAGCTCTGATGAAATCTCCGATACCGATGCGTCTGCCGAGTGTTTGGATCTTACCTCGGATTCCTCAGCTCCTTCTCGCAATCTCTCTCCCCTTTTGGCAGATTTAAAGTCTTCAACATAAATAATCAATCCCAAAGTTATTTTCTGGTATTACCCTTTAGGTTTTTTAAGTGGGTTTTATAAGCAAAGTCTGATGAAAAATAGTCAAGAGTAGACCAACGTTGGTAAACGGTAGCCATGCCAGTGGAAGAGACGATGGCAACAACACTGCTAACAGAGGAACGAAAATGATGACAGAATAGAAAGATGGGTCGTCGAGGAGAGAATGAGAGGAAAAGACTCTGAAGACAGAAGAGAAGGAAAAGGTTGTGGACTGTAAAGCAATTTTTTCCCAAATTTAACTCGCAATCTTTTTTAAAGACATTAATGAGGTGTATATTCATTTGCAGTCCGGTACTGCTTTTATAGTATGTATAGATTGCTGGGCATGTTTGCTGTGGAAGAGTTTGTGCTGCTACCTCTTTTTCTGTTTGCATCAATTGAACTAGGTTATTTATTATTGATCCAATACATTTCTTAAAAAAAATAATAATAATAATATTTGCTTTGATTGAGTAATTAAAAATGAATGAAAAAGTATGGTCGTGGGTCTTACCAACAACAAATAGAAGAACCAACATGAAAACTATGGCAGAGACCTGGTAATTCTTCATGATTTTTCCTTTTTTTTTTTTGTCTTTTTTGCTTATCTAAATAGGGTACCAAAGTGAGAAAGAACATGCAATTCTCTTAAATTTTATAAGGGATTGAGGGGACTAGTTGGAGAAGAACTGATTATTCTGAATATTCTCTGTGATTTTTTTCTAATTAAGCAAATAATGTAATCTTTGGGGGGATTTTTGCCCAAAAACATAGTTCCATATATAGATTAGAGGATCAGTTGAAGTGGACTGAGGAGAAATGGTATCTCTTCTTTGTTTGATTTGGATGATTTCTGCCATCATATAGTTTTGAGACATTGTATCATTATATTCCATTTCGAAATGATGTAAGGACATGATAAAAATTTTCTTTTAACTGACCATTTAAATGAAGTTGTAGTCAGACAAGCATGACCCTTTTGAATATGATGGTCATTTCATTGTCTAAATAGCATCAATTTAATTAAGATATCAATAGTTATTTCTATATTTGTTGTCAAGTTGATTTAATTTTAAAATAAATCTGTAATGATGTAACATTACCAGTTGTAGAGTCAAAAATACTAACAATTATTTTTTGTGTATGAGGTGTCAATTTTTTAATTTTTTATATATATTTTTATTGATCTATTCATTTAATTTATATCAATTTTAATTCTATTTACTCACGATTTCGAAAATTTTTAACAATTTAATCTAAAAATTTTATCTAAATATTATTTTTTATAAATCGCACTCTACATGTATTATTATTTTTAGGATAAACTCTATTGAGGTCTTTAAGTTTTGAATGAAATTCAAGTTAGATTCATTAGTTTCAGAAATGGACATTATGCTTTAATGTTATCAATTTAGTAAGATAAAATGATCCTACCATTAATTTAATGTTAGAAATCTGTTATGAAAGTGTTCGAGAGACTATCATAACCTTGAATGGACAACAACTTCAAATACCTAGTTTGGGAAATAAATACCTTATAATTTACAATTGTAAAATAAATTTAAAAGTTATGAAAAAAAAAATCTTAGAAATGAGTTGAAAGAGGAGATTTACCATGAAAAAAAACTAGTTTGGGTTTTGTTAGTTGCAATTGATATGAGATGTGTTTATTTATAGTAGTTCACCTGGTGCTTCAAAATTTTCTCAAAGAATATAAGTAATCAACTAGCCAATATCCACTACATATAACATTTTCTAGGCAATTCTCTTGTTCTTATTCTTATTATTGTGAATTACATTTCCATCAAACTATTTTATATCTTTAAAAATACCCATTAATTGAAACTTTAAGTAACCAACAATATAAACTAAATTGGAAAAGACAACATAATTGAATTTCATATCATATAATAATCAAAGGGGCATGGGAAATGTTAGAGTCAAAAAATAAAAAGCTAAAATTTGAAAGTAAAAGTTGGCCAACAAGCACAAGTATAGGAACATTTGAAGATTAAAAAACCAAAATTAACAAAAGAAGAAATAATGGTAGATTCAATAATAGAACCCACCTATTATAGACAAAACAAAAATAATTTTCATTAGCATATCTAAATACAACAATTTTTGGGAAAAGAAAAAAAAAAAACCAATTTATTTTTTAAAGCCTCAGAACTAAGCTTATGTTTGGATTGAAGCAAGGGGAGAGAAAAGAAAGAAATAAAAAGGAAATAAAAGAAAATGGAGAATCTTTTCCTTTATTTGTATATGACATAAATAAAAATAAAGGAAATGAATATATGCTTAGCTTCCCTTGATTTTTTTCAACTTTTTTTATTTTTTAATTACCTTAAATTAAGAAAAAAAAAAAGGAAAAGGAAAAGGAAAAGGAAAGAATAAAATTTTTAAAATATAAAATAACTATTATATCCTTTTAAACATAAGAATTGTTTGGCTTACAAATATAAGAGGAGTTATACTAGGTAGAGGAATGCCCTCATTTTCTTCAAACTCTTGTATCAGTAAAAGCATACTTAATTAATTAATAAAAGTTATTTACTTTTAAATATAGAATTATTATTTTTTAAATATCAATAGCTTATATAAAAATGACATCTTTAAGCTAAACCAAGGATAAATCAAAACTAAAAGATAATTTATTGCTATATTATCACTATTTTCTTGTGTTTCTAGAGCAATCAAACAAGAACTTAACATTATCTTTGATTTACTGAATAAAAAAATTATCATGAAAAATAACAAATTCATTGAATAAAGAAAAAAAAAAAAAAACTACGCATGCCTCATTTCTAAAATTAGATGAAATTTCTAAAATTATCTTTGATTTCTAATGTAAAAAACCTCTGCTCCAAAGCTCAAACAAAATTTTTCTGCCTTTGACTTCAAATCAACTACCAATCCATAGACTCTAAATTACCAAACTAAAAAAAATCAATAAGCCTAATCCCAAATTTCAAAACTAAAATCACTGATTGTGTTCAGGTTTTAGCCATGGGATTAAGAGAAAGAGAAAAAAAAAAAAAAAAACAGTGAGCCTAACTAGAGGAAAAGAAAAAGAACGATGAAGAGCTGTCGGTGGTGTGGTCCATTATGCACATTTGGATTTGGGTAATTATGTAATTTCTTAACTTTTTAACTCCGTTAACATTTTTAAGATGAAATGTTCATTTTTAAAATTAATTAACTTGACTTAAATCTCACTCAAAACTTAAAAGATCTCTATGGAATTTACTTTTATTTTTAAGTTAGACTTATGAAAATTAGACTTCATTTTAGTTAGAGAAAATTAGAAGACATTTAAAAAGGAACATTAAGGTGAAAAATTTTAAAAAATTATATTAAATCAAAAATATATATTTTAAGTTTTATATATATTTTAAATTTTTACAAAATAAAAATAAAAATTTTTATCAAAATCTACATAAATTTATTAAAATTTTATATTAAATAATATATAAAAATTTTTAAAAATTAAAAATTAAAAACTACTAAACCAAATCAAACTGATAAAATTCAATTTAATTTAATTCGAATCAAATAAAAGTTTTATTTGAATTTAGATCAAATTTTAAATTTTTATAATATTATGTAACATCTAAAAGAATAAAAAAAACTCAAAACAAACTATTATCGTCTTTAAGAAACATAATGACTAAATTCAATAACAATGATCAAATAAATATTATAATTTATTTTTTAAATTAAAATTAATATAAAAATATACTAAATTAATATAAAGATAAGTAATAAGTGGGACACATATATAAATATTATTCTTTTTTATTAAAAAAATTTAATTTCAATTAATATTCTATAATATACGATTAAATCGTGTAATTCTAATTAACTCTAATTCGGATCTAATCGAGTCGATTTTCTAATCAATTGTATTCCGAAGTAAACAGTTTTGGGTCTAAATGGGCCAACATTTCATTTCATCCATTCTAAGACCCAACTCTTCGTTTTCACCAAGAAACACTTTGTACCAAAAGAAAAATAACAAAGATTTCATAGAAAAACAAAACAAGAAAGAGTGGAGAAATGGAGGAAGCAAAGGCAATGGCTCATCAGCAGCAGCAGCAATTTCTCTTACAACAACAGCAACAGAAACAGCAACAGCAACAGCAACAGCAGCAGCATCACCAACAGCAACAATTTCTACTCTTACAACAACTTCAAAAGCAACAGCAACAGCAACAGCAACAGCAACAGCAGCAACAAGCAATTTCTCGGTTCCCGTCAAACATAGATGCCCATTTACGTACTACTCCAGGTGTTCTTCCTCACCGTCCTATTAACATCCAACAAAACCCTAATTCTAGCCCCAATCCCAATCCCAGTCCTAACCCTAACCCTAACCCTAACCCTAATTCTACTCCTAATTTACAACAACAACAACAACAACAGCCGTCACAGTCACAGCAGCAGCAGCAGCAGCAGCAGCAGCAGCAGCAACAACAACAACAGCAGCAGCAGCAGCAGCAACAGCAACAGCAGAAGCAGATCCGACCGTTGAATCAAGCGGAACTCCAGATGGCTTATCAGGATGCCTGGCGTGTTTGCCATCCGGATTTTAAGCGGCCTTTTTCTTCCCTTGAAGATGCCTGTGAGAGGTTTGTGTGGAAATTCTTTAATTTTTGAGGACAAGTTGGGGTTTTATTGGAAATGGAATTCTTGGTTTTTGTTGATTCTTCAGCTTTTTTGTGTTAGGTGTGAAAATGGGAAAAAGATGAGAATTGTTGGAAACCGAATAATGGGTTTTTCTTATTTCTTTAGTTTTCTTGGTTTGTGGTTGAGTAAATGTGAAAAGATGGGAGTTTTAAATAATTGGTGAAAAGATGGGAGTTTTAAATAATGGGTTCTTTTTATTATTTTATTGAATTTTGGCTCGCATGTGTGGCATTTGTAAATTTAATATGTATGTAGATTTATGCTATTTTCTGGTTGAAATTTGAAACTTTTATTCCTGCAGTTGGGCTGTAAGAAATTGGCCATATTTCTAATGTAATGATGGCATATTGTTATATCAGCTAGGGAAATTAGGATTTGAATATTAGTGTCTGACATAAGTTTACCAGTAGTGCTAGGATGATAGGGCCATTTACAAAGATATAGGAACTGGTTTATGTTAGATAATCAAATGCTTTTTGACATGGTAAGATTTGATTGTAAATGAGATTTGCAGAAACTGTTTGATTTAAATGGATGCTCAAGTTTAATGTTAGTTTGTTTCATGTAGTTAGTTTCTGTTTTGTGTAAGTCTTCCTAGATTGACATATATGTAGAAGTGTATATTATATCGCATTTGTGCATTGGAAATTTGTTGGAATTCATATGCATAAGACGGAATAAATTGCTGATGTGTTGTGACAAATGGCAATTTGGTGGGAAGAATTTTGGGATTCATCTAAATGTGGCTGCAAATACTTGGAAAATTCACTTTTGCATGATTTCCTAGCAAATAGAAGATAAGTTAGGACTTATTAGAGATGTTCGTTATTGGTGTTATGTGCCATTTGTCAGAAATCTGTTTGGCTAGGTTTCGTTCTGCACAGCTTTGTCATCTTTCTCATTGGAAAAAAGTGAAAATAAATAAATAAATAAATAAATGAAAACCCATTTAAATTTACTTGAAATTTTATTCATAATATTGTACGTTTCCTGTTGCACTGAGCTTAGCTTTCAAAATCACTCATAGCAGCTAACATTCATATGTTCCTGTAAGCAGACTGACTGATTACATGTTTTTTTGCATGAATAAACTGGAGTTGACAGAGTGACTAAATGATATTTTTAGTGTCCTAGCTTGTATTTGTACTGCTGTCATTTGCTGCTACTATCTTACTGAAGATGTTTCACCCATTTTTCAGACTTTGCTTTGCATTTTCCTGGTTAAAGTCTTTGAAACACACATGTTTCCTCTGGTCATGTCTTGGATTGGTTTATGTATCTTCTTTTCCACTATATAAAGGACTAAAAATTTTTTACCAAACACTTTTAAAGTTGGTGGCAAATTTTGTTCTTCATTGTCTGTCCTCAGGCTTTAAAAATTTCTTGTTACTGAATATTTGTTTAGTGTCTTGCTTCTTTTGACTTATATTAACCAATAAAATCAAGAACATATGGAAAATACACACACACGTGTATGCAATTTAAAATATTTTTGTTTCCCCCTCCTCCTGCCCAATTCTCTTCCCTCCTTTTCTCCCTTGACTATAATCCCTTTTATTATATTGTATATGGTCTATCTAATTCTCTCTTCATTGTGTCAGTTGACGGAAATAGTGTTTTATTTTAGTTTAGATATAGAGGGGAATGGACTAAAGACAATAGTAACCATCTATCTCATCTTATGTGAGCAGAGCTTTACATTACCAGTGGATAACACATTAACCCAGCTATTTAACTTTGACCTTTGAATGAGATTGGATATATGTTTCAGAGTTTCTCCACTGCAAGTCTTCCTTCTTAACGGGCAGATTTCTCAAGTTTTATGGTCAAATTTCCTCCAAAGAGAGAGCATGGAGAAACAAGAAAAAAAAAATGGAATAGAGAGTGGTTATCCTTTTGTGGAAATGAAATCCTTTAGTATATGATGAATGAAATCTAGTATATTTGTCATATATAGCTGCAAGTGAGTTTTTGAATTCTCCTGATTACAGAAAATAATAGTAAATGTATTGTTTCGGCAAACCCTGATTGAATATTTTTGAAATAATGTGAAGAAGACTCATCCATTTGAAGTTTGAGGGGTATTCTACAAACCTTACTGGGAAGAAAGGGAATATGGTGAACCATAGGAAAGCAAGTTTTATGTGCTTTTCACTTATATCACTTAATCCCCTATGGAGGATAAAATAGTAGTGATTTGAGCTCTCCCTACTTGAATAATTTGCATTATGACATTTGGGATTGAGTAATTTCTCCTTGCTTTCTGTTTTTTAAAGTTTATTTCATTAAACTGTGCAGGTTACTACCTTACCATGTAGTAGCAGACTATGAAGCAGAGGAGGATGATAGAATTCTTGATTCTGACACAACTGGCATGATGCCATCTCGCTCCCAGCAATGGGATCACAACATTGCTGCCAAAGTTGCAGAGTTCACAGCCACATTCGAGAAACAGGCTCTTGCCTTCAATATAATATCTCGCAAGCGAGCAATGGGGGAATTTCGATCTGAGGAAAGGTTGATGGTTGAGCAGGCTCTTCTCCAGGAAGAGAAGAAAGCCATGCTTGATTTGAGAGCAGAAATAGAATCTAGGGAGAAGGCTGGTCGGGAGGCTCATGAGGCTAAGTTGCGAATGGTAGCAATAGCTCAGGCAGAGCAAGCTCGAGCTGAATCACAAGCTCATGCTGAAATAATGGCCCGAGGACCTATAAGGGCAAACGCACTTGGGTCTCAAGGAAGCAACCTTCCGATTGGTCATGACATTGGAGAGCAGTCGCAGGGTGTAAACCCCGATGAGATGATGAATGGATGGGGGAACAATGCACAGAGGGATGAAAAGGAGCCGTCCGAAGATTTCTTGAATGATGAAGAGACTGAAAACGGAGATACAAGTGTGCAGAATGACTGGCGCGAAGTTGGGGAGTTTGATTTAAACAGTAGATAAGCCATGAAGGGTGGTTGTTGCCATTCAGTATCACCATCCCTTTTTTTATTCGTTTCACTTTTTTAACCTCGTTAAAGAAAACACGTACTAAAAGCTTGGACATTTTCATTTCAGTTAGCCTTGTGGTTTCTGCATTTATGTCTTGGCTAAGCAAGCAAAGGAGAGGTGCATGGTGCAAGAGTGTATTTGCTTTTGGGAGCTGCTTGAGGCTTCCATTGATCCTGTTTAATGTTCTTTGTATATTCTCCCAAACCAACTGGACGAATTCAAAGTAGCTATAAAAGCAGCTAGGCTTTTGAGTAAATCACATTGTTTACTTTTTCTGGAAGCCAACTATGAAATAAGCCCATAAAAAATGATAAATGGAATGTGGAACTGAGCCTTAACGACTTCTGATCCCACGCTGGATCTAGTGACACCAAATAAGCCTGAATCTTAATTACCATGTGACGCGTAAAATACAAAAATTAAAATTAAAAATGGATAAATTTTAAAATTTTAATAAAAATTATACGAATGAATTAGATAAAAATAAATTTATTTATTTTTTTAAATCGTCGACATAAATTGCAAATATTTATTCGTTACATTTAAACATATTTACATTCACAAAAACTGACTTTACATAAACATTATGACCTTATCAAATTCAATGTATAATTCCATCTCTTTCCCTTAAAAGGTTTATATTAATTCAATTCTAGACATGATTAAGTGAAATTAGTATGAAGTAATCCAATATATGAAATAATATTTCAAAAATATGATTTAAGTGAAATAAGAAGGCACTCGCCAAGCAATAGAAAAGTCAATCACAAACCAATATAATGGTGTGCCCACTGCTTTGCTTTTTCCATCCTCTTTCTCTCTCACACATCCCATTCTCATACATAACAGATGCACAAGCAAAGGACACATCATCTAACACTAAACTTAAAGCCAATGAATGTGGGAAAGAAAGGAGAAAAAAAGAGGCATTTTTTTTAACCTTGAAACAAAGAAAGAAACAGGGGAAAACAAGCAAGAATGCACAAAATCCTAAAGGTACCTACAAAATATTGGGGAGCTGGGAATCCAATCTATGCTGCAACTCCTTGATCTTCATGGAAAGCTCCATCTTCTGCTCCTTGTAGCTCTGCAACAAATATTCCTTTCCTTCTATCACCTCTTTCAAGTCTCCTACTTCCCTCTTCAGCATCTCAATTCTCTCCCCAGCTACCCTTCCCTTCTTAGGGGAGTCCAATTTGCTTTCCACATCAAGATACCCATTGGCATGACCATTTCTTATGTCAGATGGCCTAGCATTAACCGTTGAAGTCTGCTCATTCATGCCAATATGTCCTACACAGTGATCTGCAATTGCCCTCCTCAGCCTTTGGATTTCTCTCTCGGAGTCAAACAAGTCCCTATTTGCTGCATCCAGCTGTGACTGTAAATGACTTGAGTGTGCCACCTGAGCATTCAGTGAGTTCTGCAGCTCCATAATCTGATCCTGCATCTCCAGAATCATATCATCTCTTCTCTTCAACTGTTGCCTTAGTTTCTGTATCACTTCCCGCTTGCTAAATATGTCAGAGCCTGATTCTGAGACACATGGCGAGTCAGAGCAGTTAGAATGATGGACTGGCTTTGGAGGCAACTCAAGGCGATCAGGAGATGATGCCCACATAACACCATTATCCTTGTTGAACTCGGAGTTGGGAACTGTCACCAGAGGGAGAGCAACTTCAGATTCAGGCAGCATCTGGCCATTGGTTTGGCACTTCTCCCCTATGCCTTCAGCTGCTGTTTTGAGCCCAAACTTAACTAAGAAACCAACAGGTACAGGGAAATATATTTAAAAAAAAACACACATGCACACATGCCTAAACTGTCACCATCATAAAGACAAAACATTAGTGAGTATATCAATATATGACTAGCCAAAGTTAGAATGGCATGAACTTGATTGCTTTGGCAAACTCCAAAAGGACCTTGTCTCCCAATATCAAGAGCAATATATTATAGCTAAGGTAAATACAAACGCCACCCCCAACATTTCAGAACTAGGTTGATTTAACTCCTCATTTTTCCTAACTACCAGTGTCAAGACACATATCAACACCTCAAGGCTCAAAGTGGATGTGATTAAAATTTTGGAAAAACTGAAGCTGCCAGTTACTAATACTGGAAGGTAAGCAATTTGAGACTAGGATGAGATCCATAAAGGGCTCTGTCCTAAAGGAAAATGAGACTGTGTTTCTTCTCTTTCAAGGCAATATGTTACTATTACACTGAAAAAAGAGGCTTCAGGAGAGAAACCAAACTAGATGATTCATAACAATTTTCTTTCTTCACTTTTACTATCCCACTCCTAAGATCCAAACCAAAGCATAGAAAGGTGAAAACTAAAGCAATTGATTATAAATTAGCTGCATCACACCTGAAATGCAGTTGAAACAACCATCATCTTCTTGGGTAAATGAATACATATTTGAGTGTAAACGGCAACCTGATGATCTCCTTCTGTTAGAAGTTCCATTCCCTGTAACAAACTCTAAATTTAGAAGCAGTTATGTATTCAATACAGATTATTGGAGCAATAGATACTAGTATATACCTTTTGAGATAGAAGAAGCATTGTCCCGTTGCTTCGTGTCAAGTGCCTGCTTCAGCTTGTAACCAAGGCGGATTGATAAGGTACTTAGCAAGGCACCACCAGCAATAAAAAGCCAATTTGGCCCCTCACCATGAAAACTTTGCGTCTTCTGAACCCTAGATACCCGGCCACCTCTTGTATTCATTTTAAGAGTGAGGGGTCAGAGGGGAAAACTCTGAATCATCCAAATATGACCTACAGTCAAAGTGCACCAAAGTGCCATTACCAACCATGTAAAACAAAATTTAGGTGAAACAAAATCATGAAAGCCATAAGTTCTACAAAGTCCACTTTATCACAAGAAACAAAAGGGTCTCACGAATAGAATTTTAACAAAATACATTCATGTAAAATACTTAAATTGCATGACTTTAAAATTGAGAGCAATTAGACATTTAAATAAAAAATTAATATCCACCCTCCAGACATCCCACAGACTTTCTAAACATCATAGATTTTTGATAGAAAGTTGAACAGTGAAAAGGTATCTCTAGCTCTTGAAAGATCAGCTTTTGTCATAGGCATCGAGTCAGTGTCATAAAACACATCCAGGGTTAAAATCAAAAACCTTTGGAATAACATGGCCACAATATTCTCCTCGTGCTATACTTTATGCAATGAGCTGAATAACAAACAATGCAATTATGATGTTCAAATACATTGAAAATATCATCCATGGTTAGAATGTTGAAAATGAAAATGTAAACATGTTGAACATCTCAAGCATTACATGTGTCTAATTCATATAATAATGCTTAAAGTCCTATAATTCTCCCTGATTTAGGCAGTCAAGTAGCTTATGAACACTAGATACCAACTTAAAAACAGATGAACCAGGTGTTGAACACCAACAAAATCAATGTCCCACCAAAAATACACATGAGCAAGAACTCAGAGTAATTTCATCAGTTAGAACTTAGAAAAACACATCCAAGTTCTATGATTTCAAATTTATTGGGGTTCGATAATAAATCTAAGAGGTTTTAATCCATCAATCATGATGAAAGTAAACATATTCAATGAAGGACACTTATTTCATATTATCCTAAACTAAAATCAAAGAACAATAAAACTGTTCTACCAACTCATCTGTTACACACCATTTTAGGGGTGTGTGTGTCATCAAATAACATAGAAAGAATCCAAGAAAAATCAACAGATAGTGTATATGTGAGATTAAGTTAAAATCGACTTCGTCTAAAGACTATCACAAAGCAAAAATAGCATTCTCAAATTTCTACACAAACGAGGAGCACTTGTCTAAATAAGCTTCAATTTTCTCCGCCACATTAAAGTCGATATGTTACTTTGTATCGTTATGAGAATTCAAACTCCAAGTTCTAATACCAAAAACATTATAAAACCCCAATCTATCCATTATCTACAACTGTGCTCACATTTCCTCAACACCTGCAAAAGTAATGATAAAAAAAAAACCTAATATTGTTAAAACCTACACGTTTCTAATAAAATTAATAAAAAATTTAAACAAAAAAAAAACCCCAAAAAATCCTAAGTTAAATTTTTAACATTTCCTTTTTCATTCTTCTCCTATTGGCTATTAATTCAAAAAATAAAAAAATAAAAGCTTCGAAATCGAACAAAGAAAACTCACATTACCTAAAACAGAAAAAGGTACAAACTTTGTCGACTAACTTAATCACAAAAAAAATGAGATATCGATCAAAAAAATAAAGCCCAAGAAAAAATCAAAGAACGAAAAGGCAAACCTCATTCAAGAAAAAATAGGGTGTCAACCGGATTTCTCCTAAAACTCCGTCACCGGCGTCGTTTTCGACAAGTGCTTCCCTCTGTCACTATTCACTCCCTCCCTTTCTCTCTTCAGTAATGACAAGAAGAGAGGGTTTTTCAAATGACGGCTTTAGGCTGATAAGTGATTTTCTTTCCTTCCCATTTTTCTATTTTTTTTTTAAATTAGAGTAAATAAAAAAAATAAAAACTAAAACTATAAAATCCGGAGAATTTTACACGTCAACATGACACGTGTCCCCCTCGCCTTTATTTTTCCGTTTGTTGCGGTTTAAGTTGTTACTTGATTGAACATTTTCTTTTTTATTTTCCAAAATTTAGTTAATTCTTTTTTTAAAGATTTGATTGCAAAAAGAAAATTTAAAGAAAAAAATGGGAACCACTTGCCAATAAAGGTTGAGGGGAATTGCTTTGGCTGCTCTATTCAAAAAGGGAACCAAACCAAAAGAGAAAAAAAAAAATAAAAATATGAGTATAGTTCACTGAAATAAATATTCTTCAACACGTGAGGAGTATGTCTTCCAATAATTTATTAAACAAAACTTTATAAAAAATATATATTTAATTTAACATTGATTATTATTGTTTATAACAAATATTTTCTAAAATTTATATTTTATTAATCCTCAAAATTAATATTTAAAAAATATATAATGTATAATTCTTTTTAAAATTGACTAACATAAGTCTTTAATTAGGTTATTACAAACTCTGAAGTACAAAAACTCTTATACTATTTATTTCACACACCTTAAAATCTTAAAATTTAACATGATTAATAGGATGATATAAAATTTATATTACGTGATAAATCTATTATGTTTATAAATAAAAAATATTAAATGATGATAAAAGAAATTTCAATTAAGTTACTATTTAATAAACATAAATATATCAAATGACTAATTCATTTATTGTCAAATGTTTTATATTAGATGTGCATATTAAATTTAAAAAATATTGATTCTTTAAGTTTACGTGTTGAATTCTTTCATATGTAATTAAAATAAAAAAATTTATTTGATATATTAATAATAATTTTTTTTAATTTTATAAATAAAATTAAGATAATAATACATATTTTATTTATTTTTTAAATATACACTACGCGATGTATATTATTATGTTAATATTTTTTACGGAGTAAAAATTTTTTTTATCAGCTAATTTCTTTTCATTGGTTTTTTTTTTTTTCTCAGTAGGTCAGTCTGATGATAAGTACAAGAAATCAAAAAGCAAAAGAAGAAAATGAGATTATTGTCTTTTCTAACTGTCAACAGAGGCGAAAATTCAAATAGAATGAATCATCCGATGTGATACTTTAAAAATATCTTTAAAATGGTGTTTTAAAACTTTCTAATTAAGCTTCATTTGGTTATTACATTTTTTAAATTCTAAAAATAAAAGAAAAATATATATACTGAAATAATCATTTATGACATAACCAGCGAAATTCTTTTGATCATACATTATATAAAACATATTCACAGACGGAATAAAGAATTAGGGAAAAAGATATTCAAACCCAAGACTTTAAGCAAGAAAATACATGTATTTATCATTCAATCAAATAGTTGAGTGATTCATTAAGTAATTGCATTGATTATATCTCAGAAAAGTTAAGGGCATTGATTAAATCATTTAGGTTAGAGCCACCAACAATAGATTAAAATTTTGTTTGATAAATGTACGGAACACAAAATTTCGTTCTTTTATGTTAAAAAAAAGAAAAACCCGTTTAACATTTGTAAATAATTTATTAAATACTTATTTATATTTTATTTCTTTTAAAATGATTATTTTATGATTAAATATACTTTAACATAATATTAACATACTGAAAAATACATTTAACACATATTAAAAATCTTTCATAATATTTTAAAAGATATTATTATAAATATAATTTTTAAACACCTAAAATGAATAATAAAAAAGGAGACTTTTTATTTAAAATCTTTCTATCCCATGTATAACTTGAAAAACCAATGTAAGAAAGAAACTCTTTGTAAATATATATTAAGAAACTCTTTATAAATAGATATGTCTTTGTCATTCTTAAAAGTTCAAGTTAGTGGTTTAAAAAACCAACTTTTTAATTATTAATTTATATTTATTTACTTTTCGGTTATATATTTATGAATATATTTATTTAATATTTTTTTTGATCATTCAAGAAAGACAGAGCCTTACATTAAGGGAAAGGGAGAAGGTTGGGGTTCGAACCCCAACTTTAATATCTTCTTTAAGATTGTTTTGATCATTAAATTAAATAGCTAAAAATTATTTATTTAATATTCATGAATGAGTTTATTTAATATAAATGAATCGATCCTAAATTAATCTTGAGCATGGAATAAAAATTTTTATTGAATACAATCTTAACAAACAATGAATATAGTAACATTAATCATTCATATTTGATTTGGTTATACCTTTAACTATTGGTACTCGTAAGAGAAAGGACTACAGCTTCTTTTGGTGTTCATCTCAAACCAAAATAAACTAATTGGGAGCTGGGATAAGAAATAAACATTTTATTCCTTCAAAATAGATCATAAATATAGTAAAAAATTTTTTATTTAATTCTTCTATAATATAAAAATGTAAATGAAGAGAACATTCGAAGAATAATTCATAAACTTCTGTTCATTTATATTTATTTATTAAATTTAGTAAATGATTACAAATAATATTTTAAAATTCATTAATTAATTAAATAAATCACGGCGTAATAAATTTAGCTTATGTTCTATTTTTTATACTCTTGCTGTTCCTTTCTACTCCTTTTCTTCCTTTATAAAATTTAATGATTATGGCCGAATAAGCGATTTTGTTGATAAAGAAGTGACTTTGCAGGCCAGACAAGGTTGAACATTAAAACTCCTGAATCAAGATTTACAAACGATGAAAATATCACAATTGAACGTACATTTTATAAGTTGATTGTCCTATTATATAAGCAATCAACAGTTCCAGAAATGAGTGGAAAACTCCAGCCTCATTTTATCGCAAACAACTGGCCTCCTATTATGACTCTGAAGTTGAGTTATGAATGCTGATGTTTCAATAATGCACCATCCTCAACCATCTACCAACATTTGAATGCAGCAGAATCAATACACTCCAAACATTTGGTTGTGGTGCTGATTTACTCAGGTTTCCGGCAGGTAATGATAGCGTACTTGATCACGCCCTTCTGGTGTCCTTGGATCATCAATGGAATCATCAATGCACCTTTTATGGTTTTTAATCCTAATCAACTCACAATACGAGCAAAATCAAGAACAAGAAAAATTCACTTTTAACCAAAAATTAAAAAATAAATTATTAAATCATATCCCCAAAAGTAGCAAGCTTATGTATGTGAATGCATGCAAATATGGAACAAGACCTAGAAATCAACCAAAACCGATAATTCTTCTTCCCTTCACTAACAACAGTTCTGGTAAATGAGAACTACCTTTATAAGTATGATCTAATCTACTCACATGCTCCTATCAGCTTGTTTAAAAGAGTTATTGTCATGAAATGATTCCCTTTCTTAATTATGCAAATGAAACTAAAGCAGAGAAAGGAATCTAAAATCTTGCAAATAGTGCTAGATTTAGTTACCACTGCGTAGCAGCGATATGAAGCCCTTCCATGTCAATATGGAGCGTTTCACTGCTGGCCAAAATGGTGCAACATGCTGAGACCAATCGGCAACCTTTATATCCTGCATTGCAACTTGTAAATTGTGTTACAAGTGCAAAAGTAGACTTATTAACCCGGTAAAACCGGATTGTTACAAACATCACATCTGCTCAGAGTTTTGGCCAGTCAGTCGGCAAAATTAACTAGTTTGTTTTCATCATAGTGATTAATTCAACTATCATGTCTCATCAAAAGGTTATACAAGCATTTGAATTGAATGAAATATTTGAAAGAGGGTTTTAGCCTATTCAAAGAAGTAATTACCTGGAGAGATAGGGACTGCAGTAATTTGACATAATCAGAAGTAGAACACCACTCCGGTAAATAGAAAGCATTACATATCCTGTTTAGCAGCTTTTTCTCCCACGGCTGCAAAGACTTTTCAGATGGACCAAGATCCCTACGGCACTCTGTCACTATTATTATTGTGCCTCCAGGAGCTGCAACTCGCGCCAACTCATTAACAAACTGCCAGTTTTGGAGGCAGGGAAGAAATTAACATAAGTTGATATAATAAAAAAATGAAGAAAATTCAAGAAGCATGGATGCCAGAGTTCTATGCAGCTCAACAAGTCAAACTTGAAAGGATAACAACAAAATGTAACATATTAATTGGGACAAAGCAAACCTTAGCTTTATCAGGCATGTGTTCTCCGCTTTCCATAGACCAAACTAGATCAAATTGCCCATCAGGGAATGGTTGGTTCAAAGCATCTGCAACTTGAAATGAAACCTGCTAATATGGCACAGTGTTATTTTAAGCATGTAGTAATCTTAGAGCCATATTTCCATCAACAAAACTAAATATACGCAAATATCACATAAACATGGGATTGGCATGGAGAAACAAAACCGCTTTATCAACTGAAGACGATTATGAAGTGATAATAATGTTGTCAATGTAAAATTGCCTTATATAGGAACAGGATAAAGGCTTGGCATGTAGAAAACTGAGAGTTTGCACATACTTTGTCGGCTAGTCCTTCAGCTTTCGCAAGAACATTGGCCCTTCCAGCTTGAACTGCGCCCAAAGTAAAGCCTTGGCATTCTGCTCCATATTTCCTTGCTAGGTATCTAGAGCTGGCCCCTAACCCACACCCAACATCAACTATTCTCTTGGGCTGCTTTGCTGGGTCCTCTGAAAGCCAATTCAGAGGTAAAATCAATTGTTAGAAGTTCATCTTCATTTATGGTACCAGCCAACAAAGGCCTGGGGTGCATTCTATAGATCAAGAAGAAACAGAGCTACAAGACTAATGAAATATGTTAATTTCGGCATTCAATTAAGGCTACGATTGGATGTCACTTTCAGTGCTTATTTTTTCTTGTCTACAGTTTGCTTCCCAAAACTTACTAAACGAATTATATTTGATTAAAAAACCAAATGACTAAAATACAATAAACATAATAATTCTGTATAAAAATAGAACGTTTCATTTTGTTCTCTGAAACAAAATT